CGCCGAGCTGCCCGCCCCCTGTGGAACCCGCCGCCTGCCCAGCCGCCCCTCCCCCGCCTCGGGAGGAGAACCCGGAACCGTCGAGGCATCCCGGCCAAGAGCATGTAGCGCCCTTGAAACCTGCAACCCCCCGCCTGCCCAGCCGCCCCTCCCCCGCCTCGGGAGGAGAACCCGGAACCGTCGAGGCATCCCGGCCAAGAGCATGTAGCGCCCTTGAAACCCTGGCCAAGTCCTGGGCTTCCCGGCATCCTCCGGCGAGGAGTTCCGCAAGTCAACCACAAAACTTCCTTTTGTTCCTTTGAAGTGTTCACATCACTGGGTGCCCTCTCCTCCTGGTGTGGGAACTAGTCAGTAACTTCCCCTTACTCACGTTTTCCACACCCGTCAGGATGTTTTTTTATAGCTCTCTCTCCTATTCCCCCGGCTTGTTCCATCAGCTCCTCCCCTTTCCTGGCTAAGAGCTGCCCCTGGTCCTGCACCCATCACGCATGGGCAGCAGGGCACTGCCTGTCAGTGTCTCCTCACTGTATTTGCAGAAGGAACTGCAGAGGGAACCCGAACTGCTTGGTGGGGATCGGGGAGCATGTGTGGCTGGGAGAGATTGATGAAAATAGCTTTCACAATATTGACGATCCAAACTCTGAACGCAGGAAAAAGGTAAAAGAAACTCATTTGTTGTCATTCAAACTGTAGCTCTGCTTTGGCAAATGCTTTTCCCGTTGAGTTTACATATGCGCTGAAGTGTTTGTCCATCAGCGGTCAGTATTGAAGAACCATCTTCCTCAAATAAAAAAAGAGTAGTCCTGTGGCACCTTAGATTTAAAAATATATATACACAATATCATGAGTTTTCATGGGCAAAACCCACTTCTTCAGATGAGTTGAGTGGGTCTTACCTGCAAAAGGTCATGATTCTGTGTATATTTGTTAGCCTCTAAGAGGGCTACTCATTGCTTTTAAAGTTACAGACTAACATGGCTACCCCTCAGAGACAGTTTCCTCAAAGAACACCATAATGACTGGATTCCTACTGCTGGATTTCAGCTCCGTAGCATCAGTCTTGAATTCCCTTAGCTTTCAAAGAGTCGAAGCACTACCTGTTGATTCCCCATCTGAGCCCCTCTTTCAGTGCCTCTGTGCCATAGAGCATTCAGTTTCCTTGATGAGCAGACTGGAGAGAGTTCTCTACATTCTAAGTATAAGGGATAGCCAAAGAGGATGAGAAGTTCGTAATGCTTTCCTTCAGAGTTAGGAAACAGGACCGAGAAGTATAAATTAGGGATGTTAAATTGCGTTTAATCAACTAATTGACTAGTTGATCGAACTTCCCTTGGCTAGTTGATAAGGGGGGAAACTGGCAGCTCTTAGTACATTTAAAAAGCAGAGGCCCAGCATGTGGGACTGGGTGCTAGCCATGAATCAGCTGATTGCCAGCTCGTGCCTGCTCTTCCTCCCCTACGGAGACGGTGTTGGGGGGACGGGGACCGCCACTACTCAACTATCCGATAAGATGATACTAGTATAAATGGAATCAGATGATCTGTGCAGGTAAGCAGAATTACAGATGAACAGTTGTCAATTTGGTGACACCATCTTGATTGGATTTATAGTGTTGGAGACTGAGAAGCTTGAAGGAAAACTTCTTAAACTTGCAGCGCCGGTGCCAATAACTAGATACGTACTCGCTAAAAGCAGTTGTGTAGAAAGAGCCTAACTGATAGTCAGTTTTATTAATCGCTCCTTTACGTTAGAACGCTTTTGTAGGCCTAACAAACCTTGGAGCCACGTGCTACGTCAACACTTTCTTGCAGATGTGGTTTCTTAACTTGGAGCTTCGTCAGGCACTTTACTTGTGTCCAAGCACCTGCAGTGAATATGTCACTGGTGAAGGCATCCCAAAAGACAGAGGTTAGTAGAAGGTCACAGCATCTCCGAAGTCTTTGTCTTGTTATAAGCAAAAGTTGCTTTTGTTATCTATAGAGAAGCTCAGTGTATTCAAATGAGCTGCTATTAAATTTTGTTAACCTCATGGTGCGAAATCATTATCTGCTTTATACAGTGAAACGTAAGCAATAGCAAAGCGAATAGAGAGGAAAAGCTAGAAGAAATCTAAATTCTTATGTTTTAAAACATTGTTCTATCAGGAAGGCTACGTTTACACTGTCAGCTTCTTGCGTAAGAATGCTTTTGCGCAAGAGTTCTTGTACAAAAACTCTTCCACAAGAGAGTGTCTACAGTGCCACGTGCTTTTGCTCAAGAGCATCCATGGCAATGTAGACGCTGTCTTCCGCAAGAAAGCTCTGATGGCCATTTTAACCATAGGGGCTTCTTGCGCAAGGAATTCATGTTGCCGGTCTACACTGCTCTCTTCTGGAAGAGCTCTTGCGCAAGAAGGCTTATTCCTCGGGGGGAAGAGGAATCACTCTCCCGGAAGAAGCCCTGTTTTACAACGCTATACTGTAAATTTACTTCCGGAAGAACGCTTGTGCAGTGTGAACAGCCAGCAAGTTTTTGCGGAAGAACGACTGTTCTTCCACAAGAAGCTGCCGGTGTAGACGTAGCCGAATTGATTTGGATTAGAAAGAAGTTTCCCCCCATACGCAAACTTAATGAGAGAACATCAATACGACATAAAGGAAATTACATAGAAAAATCTGGCATTGACCACTGTTGGTGCCAGAATAATGCTTTCGACTGTTTGCCCCAGATTATCAGTGACCTATATTTTTTGTTTAGCGTGCTCTAGGTGTGCTTTGCAGGTAACATGGCTTAATGGTTCTCGGCTTTCTATTGTTCACCATGGATTATTGCATTGTAATACATGTCTTACCAGGCTGCTTAAACCAAATAAAATGAATATCTGGCCATTTTCTGTGCTATGCTAATTTTAGCATGTCTCTATCAAATGAAGTTGAGTTACTCAGATGGGGTGCTTGAAAGCAACAAAATACTGTGGAAAACTTTGATAACTTCTTTTATACACTTAACTAATATCTGTAGGGCATTCTCCTCTTACTGACCGTTGGCTGTGGTACTTTGGGAAAAGTAGCACAGTCTAAAATGGGAAAACCTGTCTTTTTAGTGCTGTGACTTTATGATTCCTAATTTAACCCATTTTAGATGTCATGACAGTTTATAATTTGATCTGTAAACATGAACAGCTTGGATTTTTAACATCAAGATGTATGTTAAAAGTTTTGTCCATTGACTAGCAAAAAGTAACTTTCCTCCCTAAAACAACAAGAAGTCTAGTGGCACTTTACAGACTAACAATTTTATTATGGCAAAAGCTTTTGTGAGTTGCATCGCACTCCATTAGGTGCATGAAGTGAAAGAAAAGAAACAGCTGGTAGGGATACATTGATGGGAGTCTAATGAATTGAGTTGCAACTCACAAAAGCTTATGTCTTAAAATTGTTAATCTTTAGGGTGCCACTGGACTCTTTGTTTTTTGCTGAAACAGACTAACATGGATACCTCTGAAACTTACTCTACTTGGAATGGCTTTAATTTTCTCCTTTATTTTTTCTGAGGAAAAAAAATACTTGCTGAACACTAATTTGAGCATTTTTTTCAATAGATTATGAACCCCGGACAATTTGTGAACATCTTCAGTACTTGTTTGCGTTGTTACAGAACAGTAATAGAAGATATATCGATCCCTCCGGGTTTGTTAAAGCACTAGGCTTGGATACAGGACAACAACAGGTATTCTTGAGATATTTAAACTTGATGAGCTTTCCTTTTGAACAAATTGGGCATAGTGGAATATTTGTCCTGTACCAGAGCATAAAAGCCTGTGGACTGGATTGTCAGTAGGTATAAATTGGTATTGTTTGGTAGATTTCGTTGGAGCTGTGGTGGTTTACACCCTGAGGAACTTAACGCTAAACTTAAATTGAAACAATTGACTAAAATCATGCTGTCTTATTTGCTTGTGCTTCTGCTTTTCTGTTGTTTGACTTGAGCTATCCTGTAAACAGGCATAATTTGTATTTGTTTGCTGAGACAATGCAAGACAGTGCCATGCTGCGTTTCAGAGAGGTGTGAGAAACCCATAGTGGAGCCACACTTGGGTGATGGTTTTTTCCTAGAGGTCATTTTACAATTAAGATTGGCAACTGTGTTCTGGGATTTTTAAAACTAAATGCCGCAAAACATTTATCTGAGGAGATAAATGATGGTGTTAAACAGTGAGTGAGTATTGTTACATAAGAATGCCTAGACTGGATCAGACCCATGGCCCATTTAGACCAGTATCCTGTCCTCCACCAGAGGCCAAGGCCAGATGCTTCAACAGGAATGAAAAGTACAGGGAATCATCAAGTGATCATCCACTCTCAGCTTGTGGCAAGCAGATGTTAGGGACATTCAGAGCATGGTGGTATTTCCCTGCCCGTCCTGGCTAATAGCAGTTGCTGGACTTTGTTAGTTCTTATTTTGAACCCTGTTATAGTCTTGACCTTCACTGCATCAACGACTTGTATAGGTTGACTGGGTGTGTGTTGTGTGAATAAATATTTCCTTTTGTTTGGTTTAAACCTGGTGCCTAATAATAATTTCATTTGGTGACCACTGCTGCTTGTGTTATCTCTAGCAAAAGATACTCCATTCCCTAACAAAGGAGGATTAATATGCTTCAACCTACTGTGTGCTGTTTTTACAACATATAAAATTATCTTAAAAAAAAAAAACCCAAAATCTGTCAGTGATATTTGAGTATTTTGTGGGGGAAAAGATCGGCTCACGATGTGGAGTTAAATAAGAACAATGGGATTTGTACAGTTAATGAGCCACTCCTATTGTTCAGAATCCTGCAAATTGCAGTGCAGAAGTCAAACGCTTCTTAGATACCAGGACTCTGCCCAATTTAAGTCATGCTGCTATTTTCATGTTGTACATCTTAAACTGCCTTTTTAGTCAAGTTCAGTTTTCTCTTAGCCCTCTTGACTTTGTATTCATCATGCCTCTTACCAAATTACATGGAAAATGGGTATATGAGTCTCCATTGCTGACACAATTTCAAGTATATTAGAGAGGTGGGTTCTGACTCTGTTTTGAGTTACAATATATTAACATGTATTGGTGTTTTGTTCTAGGATGCACAAGAGTTTTCAAAGCTATTCATGTCACTGCTAGAGGATACTTTGTCTAAACAAAAAAACCCAGATGTACGGAACATTGTCCAAAAGCAGTTTTGTGGAGAATATGCATATGTCACTGTGTAAGTAGTTGATCTGATTCTCTGTTGGTGCTATCTTGCTCAGTGTTTCCCTCTTGTTCTGGTCCCCTTTCTTCAAATATTAAAGTTTTTTTTCGGGGGGGAGCGGGGAATGGGAAGAGAAGGGTATGAGTTTCAAGGAGCCTTTCTCTTTAAATTTGTAGTAGAAGGGAAGTAACTTAAATGTTTAAACTTAATATTCAGTTATTTTAAAGTTATTCTCAAGTTTCTTAAATAGGAGTGTGATTTTTTTTTTTTAAACATTCTGCAGTTTGCCCATATTTCTAACTTACAACTAAATACCTGCCTGGATTGTTTAAATACATGGATTAATTCAATATGTCTAGAATGTGGTGTGAAGCTGCCCCAAGTGGCTGTTTTGATTCCCAGTAGTGGAATTGTAAATTGCATTTGAAAGATAGGGATCAGATGTAGAAGGGCAGAAATTAGGGATGTAAAATTTCAATTAATTGTCTAATCAAATAGTCAATGCAAACTGCATCGACTATTCGATTAGTCAATAAGGGCACTTCTGCCTTAGAAGTGTAGCAACAGCTCCAGGGCTGCGCTTCAAAGGCAGAAGTGCTGCGGGGACCATGGGGTCAGCGGGGGGATTCAAGCAGTCTCCCGCTGGCCCCATGCTCCCCACGGTGTTTCAAAGTGGCAGCGCTTCATGGAGCCCAGGGTCAGCGGGGGAGTCCCCAACTGGCCTCGGGCTGCACTCAGTGTTTCAAAGCGGCATACCCTGGCACCATGTGGCACTGCTGCTTTGAACCACCCCACCTCTTTCTGATAGAGGCAGCAAGGGGGGGACGGGAAGCAACTAGTAAAGTAGTGTGTTGACTACCAGATAAGTATTTGCTTATTGAATAGTCGAATAGTTCACATCCATATGCAAGATACAAGGTCCTCTTCTATAACTTATGCAGTCTTGGAAACACAGTCTGTTGGAGATCATTTAGTCTGGTCTCTCTCCTAGTTTAACAATCAGAGGAAGAACTTGAATGGTAAAGTTTTCTGATGGTTAAATGACTGACGGTTTAAGCTTTGTACTGACCTAGCTTAATTCATGTTTCATTCTAGCTGTAACCAGTGTGGCAGAGAGTCCAAACTCATATCCAAATTTTATGAACTGGAGTTAAATATCCAAGGGCACAAGCAATTGACAGACTGTATCACGGAATTTCTTAAGGTACCAACTCCCATGGAATCATACTGTTTCTGTAGCACCCACAAAGCATTAGTCTCCTTGCTAATATTAAGTGTCTCCCCACCCTCACCCCTTTTTTGGGGGGGGGGAGGAGTGCTGTAATTCTCAGCAGGTGTCACGGCAAAGTTAATGGTCGGAGCTTTGAATCTACTAAGGGGGTTGACCAGAGTAACAACTTGAGTTTTCTATCCTAAATGTGGGCCCAGTCCTGGATTCTTAGTTCACATATAACTCCTTATGAAGTCAGAGAGAGAGGAGTGTGGGAGTGGCGGTATAGTGACAATTAAAGAGACCTCTAAAAAAATCAAACCTGTTTGAAAATATTTTGGCTAAAGTGACCGGAGCAGAAAGAAGAGAGTGTATTTCTCAGTTTGCTTTTAGTTCCCAGTACTCTGTATTGGTCATTTCCTTGCTTCATAGGCTTGTCAACTGTAGAGGCTTTTTTTTTTTTTTTAAACCTAAAATATTTTCAGGTGGCTCAGGAGAAGCAGTAGCATCATCTGTATCATTTAGCATATTTTTAAAATTTGACTAGAACAACTTCATGATATTTAAGGTTTAAATTGTGAAAGTCTCACGGATCATATCTTGTTGAATACGAGATATTGTTGTTCCTTCCAGTAAGGAACATATCTTAGTTTTTCTTAAATTGCTGTTAGGTGGATACAAGTCTTTGAACTCAGGGTGACAAGATTCATGGTATCGTTGCAGGTTTGTTTTCTTTAACACAGTGATAGTCTTTTGACAAAGAAGACACATCGCTTTTCCATTTATCTGCAAAAGCCAATTCTATCTCCCAAACAGGGTTGAAAACCCTGTGTTCAACAAGTGTCTCTTCTTCGCCATTTTTAATGCTTCTTTTTTAAAAGAAAATTGTATACCAGTGTTTTGGGTGTTTAGCTTAAAGTTTTAGGCTGTGCGTTTCTTTGAGTGATTTTACTGTAAAAAGAAAAGTTTCCAAGACAGAGCGCTCCAACCTGTAGCGGGCGGGGAGCTGGGCAAGTCAGGCTGGACACGAGGCAAAAAGGACAGATGCCCCAGAGCCCCATCCTGGATTGCCAGCAGGGCTGATGTCCCCACGTGGGAGTCCGTCGCTCCATGTGGGGCAGAGGCAAGGCTTCCGAGCTGCAGCACCAGACCCAAACTTGGCTAGTGTGAGCCATTGAGCACCTCTCAGGCTTTGCCCACAAAGCTAAGCAGCCACTTCCCACAATGCCCCATGTTCCTGGCACCTCCTGTCTGGGGGCTAGAAACACCAACTCTCTGTACCTGTCTGTGCCAGCCCATCTGCTTCCATCTTTTATGGCTCACCCTGCCTGTGAGACGCTTTGCCACTGTGGAACGTGTTCCCAGTGGAGCCCGTGTTCAAAGGATTTCATCTGTGGGCCACGTGTTGAGCCCCGCGTAAACCCAAACTGCCCCGTGGGCCACAAACAAGTGTGACAAGTAGCCCAGATCTAAGGGTGCTTGGGCCTGCCGTGAGGGCAGAGGACTGCACTCAAGGTCTCTTCTAGTTCTAGTGTTCTATGATGAATGTTGCACTCTAACATGTACTGACTTTTCTTATTCTCTTGGTCAGGAAGAAAAGTTAGAAGGAGACAATCGCTACTTTTGTGAAACTTGTCAGAGTAAGCAAAATGCAACAAGGAAGATCAGGCTGCTTAGTCTTCCATGTACACTCAATTTGCAGCTGATGCGTTTTGTGTTTGATAGGTAAATAGCCTAACCTGTGTGTGGTATAAACATAGGAAGGATATAGGTCCCTAGAAATGCCTGTAGTATCTTCCTCTGTTTTGGCTTTCATTTCAAACAACTTGATTCTATTCAAGTCTGAATTGAGTTAAATGTTATGAATTTGAGCATTTGTGCACTTATCTTTTGTGAAGTTCATTTAAATACCCAGTAATCTCATCTATTAAAATACCATTACAGTTTGCAAATTAAAATTTTAAATACTCAAAAAGATGTTTACTCTTTGCTGCACTGAATACTTAAGTCCTGTAATTTTTTTTTTTTAATAGACAAACTGGCCATAAGAAAAAGTTGAATACTTATATTGGCTTTTCTGAATTGCTTGATATGGAACCTTTTATGGAACAAAAAGGTAAACTACATACAAAATATCAATTTAATAATTGTACCACTAGAGCTATTAGCTTCCAGTAATCAGTGTCTTGCCTGAACCTGCCCTCTATCTGTAGCCATCTACAATGGGTGTGCAAATAAGTCTCTTGTGGCTCTTAACCTTGTTATTTAAAATGGAAGGGATGCTTAAGCGGTGTTTGTCCTCATTTGTGAAACCAGCAGTTGAGATTAGGTACTTTAACAAAAATCCTAAATTTTCAAATTGTTGAACTCAGATCTGTGACTTAATGCAGACAGCACAGTGTCTGTGCTATAGGGGGAAAGATGTTGGTTTTTGGATACATCTTGTATAAAAGTCTTAATACAGTTCTTAGAAGAGCTTTTTTGCTGTGTAGATGTATCAGATATTCAAGTCCTGGGTTTCTGTAGATTAAAGGTGCCTCTTCTCTTTTAGATGGCGTCTCTGTATATGAACTTAGTGCCGTCCTTATACACCGTGGGGTGAGTGCGTACTCTGGTCACTACATTGCTCACGTGAAAGACCCACAGACTGGGGAATGGTACAAGTTTAATGATGAAGACATAGAAAAGATGGAGGGGAAGAAACTACAACTGGGGATTGAGGAAGATCTAGGTAAAACCTTTAAGTTGTGAGTGCCCTTTTAAAATAACTCTTTTCCCCAAAAACATGGAGGATAAATCGTTTGCCCTGATAACCTATATTGAGTAATTTGCAGTCATAAGGTTAACTAATGAAATTGCAACTTGATGAGTTGCAGTTAATTTTTACGCCAATCCCATCTGATTGTTGAATGTCTTACAGGTCTGGTGGTGATTGACTTCACTTCATGTCATATTACAATCTATAAAAGACCTGTACCATGCGTGTCACCTAGACGAGGCTGGAATGAGTGACGGGAGAGGGATTGTTTGATGATTCCCTATTCTGTTCACTCCCTCTGGGGCATCTGGCATTGGCCACTGTCTGCAGACAGGACATTGGGCTAGCTGGACCTTTGGTCTGATCTTCGACTGTTCTTGTGTTCTTATGATTTGTTTTAAAAATGGTTAACTTGCATATCAGTAAAATGTATGCAAAGCTGTTTCTTGCCAAACCAGCACTCAGAATGGGGCTTTATTTTTAAACAGCAAGATCATTTTTAGTTACTATTTGTATTTTTACTTCCTCTGAGAAGTTTTTAACAACTTTTTTTGAAAGGGGACTGTAAAATTTTCATGAATCTCAAAAACAACATTTTTGGGAGCAAAACCTATGACATTGTTTTTGTCACTTTATTTCCCCTCTTCCCACTTCCCTTTCCAAAAACCTCTGTGTATGTTTTGGTCTTGACTTCCCTGAATTTGCTGAAGAGCTTCAGCTTGATTTGCTTGCAGCTGCTGTTACAGAGCTTTGCGCTCTAAACTAACAGTGTTTGGATCTGCAAAGGCCCATGTCTGTGAGTAACTTCAGTTAGTCAGCACAGTGCTCCCTACCTGTTTATAGATCAGACAGAAAACTGCAAGAAGCATTTAAAAGTCTCCATTCTGGTGCCCGAACAAACCCGGGGAAGTGTAAGACCATATTTTTCTCATATAAAAAGCAAGCAGAATAATTCCTTTTCAAAAAGCTGAGACTGTGTTTATACAAAGTCAAGTTTTTTAAAAACACTGACTAACTTAAAGGCCCTTAGTTTTGTGACAGAGCACCATAAACATGTACTTTAGGATTTTTTTAATCCTGATCTATAACTTGTTCTAAGGCTTCTCCAGAAGAAGCTCAGAAAACAACCCCAAAAATGTTCAGATCGCTCTCCTGTTTTCTCCCCCTTCTGCTGTCCCTCCCCCACTTCCTCCATGTCCACACCACTCTGATTTTTCTTAGCTTTGCTGCTTGTGGCTGGTAAACTTAGTTGTGAAGAGCATGTACTTGAACTCACTAGAGCTGTGACTTTTGTCACTCTTAGGCTATGTCTACAGTACTCCCTCTTGCGCAAAAATATGCAAATGAGGCAAAGCGTGGAATATCACTGCACCTCATTTGCATAATTAATTAGGCTCCGTTTTTGCATAAAACCCCCATCTTATGCAAGAGCCATTCTTCCTGAAAAAAATACGGAGGAATGGCTGTTGCTCAAGAGGGGGTTTTGTGCAAAAAGGAGCCTTGTAGACGGCTCCTTTTTGCGCAAAAGCCTCTTGCCCAAAAACGGAGCCTCATGAATTATGCAAATGAGCAGGGCTCGACAAATCGCTGATTCTACTCACCCATGGCGAGTAGATTTCAGCTAGTCACTCCGTGCGCCCCATTCACTGGCGCTGCGCGCATGCGCAGTGCGGGGCTGGCAAGTAGCTCTTGCCGCAGTTTGTCAAGCCCTGCAAATGAGGCACAGCGATACTCCACACTTCGCCTCATCTGCGTATGGTGTTTTTTGCACGAGAGGGCAGTGTAGACATAGCCTTAGTGTGTGAGTGATGAAATTGACCCTCGACAAAACCATGTCAAATCCCAAAACATAGAACAGTGGTTTTCTTTGATCTTCTGTTGGCCTCATGGTAACTCCTTAGTTTACTTGTAACAGCAGGTTAAAACATTATTAAGGCAAGGTCCCCCAAAGAAATCAGTAGGGCTGCCTGTGTTCAGAAAGTTAACATATTGATTAATTTTTATGGTCTTGGAGTTTTCATGTGCAAAGAGTTTTATAAATACAAACTTTGTTCAGTGTGTTAGTGATTTCCCAGGTCCTCCCAAGACCTGAGTTTGAGGTTCTTTCTCTTGTCAGAACAGAAGCCATCCCAAACACATACAGCAGGTATTAGAGATCTGCTGAAGGGAAACACTCCTAACTCTGGCCCTACGGGAATGAAAGGGGGCAGACTTATAAATAAAATATATATAGCTGGAGGGCTAAGCATTTGTGGACCCCATCATTGTAATACTGGAATTTCCCAAGAAATAACAATGTATGCTTATAGTGTTTTCCATGTGCTATATTAAAGGTTTGATTATAAGCAGGTTTTTCTCTTATGTAAATAAAATCTCCACCTTTGTGGTTAAAATTGCAAATATGCATATTTTTGTAAATTTTCTTTTTTTGACAGGCTGAGATTAAGGTAGAATTACAGGTCCAGAAATGTTGGTTGGTATTTAGCCAAATTCCCAGTTCAAGGTAGCATTTGGAACCAGTCCTGCACTTCGATATTTATAGATGTCATGCAGGGGGAAAGGAAACGTTTGTTTTATTCATTTAAATTCTCTGCATCCCAGTCTGGATAAGCATAGGGCACAGTTATTTGGTACATAATACTCAGGCCAAATTGCCTGCATTGCTTTGGAGAACAGTTTGGCAAGGTTGGAGTTTAGTGTGTATGTGTAAGGGAAGAACTGAAGTCAGATGTTTCACAATTTTCCCCACTAAAGGAGAATAAATATGTTGGAATGAATGTTCATTAGTTTTTGGCTTCTGTACCTCAGCAGAGCCGTCTAAATCTCAGACTCGTAAACCCAAGTGTGGGAAAGGCACTCACTGCTCTCGAAATGCTTACATGTTGGTGTACCGACTGCAAACACGGGAAAAATCTGTAACGGCAGAAGTCCCAGGTAAGTGAACTTTGACTCTTCAAACCAGACTCAGAAAGGCCTTGTAAGTTTTTTTGGGCCTGTTGCAGAGGGAAACGAGCACTTCCTCTTTCTGCAGCACTGAGTCCAGTAGAGTAAAAGTTTGCCTTAAATGATCCAACAGTTACTCCAGCAGTAAGCAGTCACTCCTGGTCCTGATACATGCACCAGCTGTACTGATATTCATTGCTATTTGGTCTGCTAAGTAGATACATAACTTTTTTAAACAATTAAGTTTTGCAGTGTATTCTTCCACTAGGGAAAAAGGAAAGTGTGGGGAGAGGGGGAGAACTGTAAACATACCGTAGCTCTATGTTTAATGTATTTGTGTTGTAGTTCTTAACCATTTGTTTTCCATTCCTACTGTGCTGTCCTTTCAGCAGCAGTTTGGGCCCTTTGGCCAATCTTCTCTCTCTTACTAAAACATTTAGAATACTGGCAAGTTACCCCATTAGCTCTTCACTGCCGAGTGGAGTGTCTGAAAGGATCTCCCACCACTGTGGCAATGACAGTGACTGTATAAACGAGGGCAAGTTTACAACTTCACGCCCATAACCACTCGGTGTCCCGATCCCACCGGAACTCTGGTAACAGAATAGCTATGAGAAGTCCTGCTGTGTGGTGCTAAATCCCTTTGCTACCTGCAGAGTCAGGGCACATCATCACAGAATGCCCAGCTGGCCAGTCCAGGTGGCTTTGTACGTAGTGCCTACAACCTGAGTCTCATTTAAATGTCTAAAGGTTAAGCATAAAGCTGCATAATGATGGCTAAAAAAGGCCAGTGGTGTATATAGTGTAACATGGGTAGGGTAGTCCTGGTGTTTGACAGGGGCTCAGTTGCTAAACTTCGCAAATAATTGTTACTTCTCTTAATGTGAACAAAAGGCATAAAACATGTAAAAGTGCAGGCCATTCAGGGTTTTTCACTTAAATATTCATAGCCTATGTTAGCACTTCGGAGAGATGGGACGTGAGGAGTAGCTTTAATAATAATATTTGGAATCTATTGTCCTTTGACATAACACAGCACTATACGTAAATAGTAATTGCTGTTTCTGGAGGTGTTAATACTGTTTTGGGGAATGGTGTAAGGCTCTAGAATGGATTGACTTGCCTAGGGCCACACAACAAGTCCTACTGACAGCAGGGTCCCATGAGTCATGGCCCCTTGTCTCTAGTCATTATGAATGCTAAGTGAACAGTGAAAGGGTCAGCCTGAATGTCTTGAACTGTAGACACTGTCCCAAATATTTTAAGAACACTCTCTGAGACCCATCATGACACTGCATAAATATCTAAATGAAAATATCTGACTTGACTTAGTTTTTAATAAAATGCTAAATGTAAAATAAAACTTCACAGGAAATATTTTGTGCCTTGTTTATACCCCTCCTGTAAGGCAATAGGCTGTCTACTGTCCTTTCCCCTTTCTCCTCTTTTCACTGTTGAATGGCCACTGAATCGGTTTTGTTTACACCCTCACCTACTTTTCCTCTTTTCCCACCCCTTTCACTTGTGAATTCCTGTCCCACATTTCCCATTTCTTCTGAAGTATCATATTTTATTTCATTGGTCACCCTCCCCTGTGACTTGCATCAGCAGCCCTTCAGTTGCCCCATCTGGTCCAGGGGCAGCCATTCCTGAAAATGCCAAGCTCGGAGCAGGTACTCCCAAGTGGGTACCTCTGCAGTTAATCTTCCCAACGTGTCACAAACTGTGCTTCTGAGCTCCCATGCCGGTTAAAAAGAAACAACAACAAAAAAGAAATTCCCCAGCCCTCTTCAGTGCAGTCCAACTTTCTGGCTTCCAATTGGCATGTAGGTCCAGTACAGTGAAAAGTTCTTTTAAAGCTTTGCTCACATACATAAAAGGTTCTTCTGACCCCAAAGGGCCAGCCAGTTTGGATCTTGCTTCCAGCTAACTCTTTGGTATCTAAAACGAAAGGTTTATTATAAAGAAAGAAAAGACGAGATGTTAAATGGTCAGTCACCTACATACAACAACTTCAAAGTTCATCAGATTCCCAGCAGAGCTGATGAGGCTGCAGGCTTGAAAGAACACTTCCGCAGCTTGGCTAGATCATTCAGTCCTTTGTTCAGAGCTTTAGCTTGTAGAAATGTTACTCCAGAGGTAAGAAGTGGGATTAAAGATGCAGCTGCCCTTTCTATTCCTTTTGCCATGTGGCTGGTGGTACGTAGCTTCTACTTCCTTTGTCCCAAACACCAGCTGCCCTGCACATGTCTTAGAAGCCTTTGAGTTTTGACCAGCTCCTTCATGCCTTGCTGCATCTTAAGGTGCTCGGGTCAGTTGAGTAGCTGATGGGCCAACCAGCAAGCTAGGCAGTGCACCCCCATGCTGTCTGTGGGTGTCACCCAGAAGCACAGCACAAGCTTGTAATACAGACATGCATACATCTGCATAACCCAAAATACAAAGGTGATACAAACATAGAACTGAGATATGCCAGACTGCCTGCCAGAGAGGACAAACTCATTGCAATCTTTCAGTTGAGTAGCTGATGGGCCAACCAGCAAGCTAGGCAGTGCACCCCCATGCTGTCTGTGGGTGTCACCCAGAAGCACAGCACAAGCTTGTAATACAGACATGCATACATCTGCATAACCCAAAATACAAAGGTGATACAAACATAGAACTGAGATATGCCAGACTGCCTGCCAGAGAGGACAAACTCATTGCAATCTTGCAATATTAATATTTATAATATCCTCAAGTGTCCCCCAGATTCCATAGAGCATCACACCCTGCCTGTTCCCTCAGCCGCAGAAATTCTGCACTCATCCCAGAACCATGTAGCACCTAGATCATGCAAATCCTTGTTTCTGGCCTCTGTGGTAGGTGGCGTTAAGGATTCTGGTGTGCTACTGAGACTCCAGACTTAGATTTTTCTGCATCTTAGTAGGAGGAAATAGAGATTGCTCCAGAGAAATAGAGGAACAGCTACGGGACGTATTGGGTGCTGAGATGAGTGGGAGGCAAGAAAATGTAACTAGGTGCGTCAAAGACTAGTAGGAACATCCCTGAAACAGTCTGGTGGGCTCCTGATTTGCAGCCCTTCACTGTTACAGCAGTACAAAAATGGTCGCTCCTTAGCATGACTATTAAAATAATAGTATGTTATTGGCAATCCTTTCAAATGTGAAAAGTATTTGTCATGCAGCAAAGGGTTTTGTTCTAAAATACTGCAAGTGTTACGTCCTCCAGAGTACCTTCTGTTGGGCCGCATTAAAGCATTTAAGTTTAATCACCTATATTGGCGCACACACTGAACTGTAAATATTGGAGAGGAGGACTATCCAGGCACATGACTTTTACAAAGACTCTTTATTATTTGTATGAGGAAACCTTTGAAGTTCAGTGGTTGTTACCATTGGCTATTACTGCTCACTGGGGTAATTGGCATAATTGATTTAATTATGGCCTTTTTTAAGTTAAAGTAGGATTAGTGGTAGGTAATACTTCTGCTCTTTCTTTCTTTCTCCGCAGCTTTTTTGCAGGAGCTGGTTGAACGGGATAACTGCAAGTTTGAGGAGTGGTGTAATGAAATGGCAGATATGCGCAAACAGAGTGTGGTCAGAGGCAAAATCAAACATGAAGAGGTGAAGGAGCTCTACCAAAGGTTACCTGCTGAAGCTGGTCTGTAAGATATTTCTGGTTGTTTTGTTGTTAAGATTAGCACTGTAAATAAGTCCTACAACTAACCCCATTTCCCATTTTATGTATAAGATCAGCTAGTGGGTGTTGCTTCCCTTTTCCTCGTAGCCTTTTGTGTTCTGGTATTTGTGGTAGCAGGGTGTTGTAAAGGCAGTGGAAGAGAACATTCTCTACCACGCTCAGCTTGCTGCTACTATACATGTTAAAGTAGTTAAACAAGATTGCAAAGGTTTGAGTTTTTTTGCAAGCTTTAGCTTTAATTGACAAGTGCTTAATTTTCTCTAGGAGCCTTTCCCCAAAAGGTAATTCCTCTCTTTCTTCAAATACTCTGTTTGCTTCCAGATCATTAGTGCCACATTAATACACCCGCTCACATGATCCTGATCCGAGCACACCATTAGAAGTGTTTAGATGCTGTTAATGTCTCCTTCCCCCCCAGGAGAGAAGGGCCTTTTTGACCAATACTAAGGCTACAGTAGAGGATTCATGATCAGTGTTGCTTTCCCCATAACCCTTTCTGCCACAACCTACTTCCTTCTCCTTACCTGTTTCCCTGTCCCTCCTCATAACTGCCATTGGTGCTGTTTCTCCCTTCTTCCTCGGTATACTTCCTCCCCATCAGTGACACTCTTCAGTCGCCCTCCTATGCTTATATCACCATGCCCATCTTCGGCGGCCCTGTGAGCCGCTCGGCTCCCTTTGGATTGGTAGCACTGAGAAGGAAGTAATGCAAGTCATCATGCATCTCCAGTTCACTGGCATGCTTTGGTGCTGTTGATCCAAATGAATCCACAGGTAATAGGTCATACATTCATTCCGTGTTTGTCAGAACGTCGTTAGTGTCATTTTTATACAGACACGAAGGGCTCCATGTAGGCAGGCTGTTATCTGTGAGAATTCCCGGTGAGGAGTGGCCAAAATATGGAGACTTGGTTTGCAATCAACTTCAGTATTTTGGAATGGAGGCAGATTTTATTGACACTTTTTTGCGAACTGAAATCACCCTGACCATTTCATACAGCACACCCTGACATGGGGTGCTGCAGGTTAGAAATATGGAAAATGGACATTGTCCACCCCTGCATTTTACTGCTTCAGAACAGGAGCCTAGCAGCCCTGAGAGCCAGCCCCTGGATTGGATTCAGCAAAACATTTCACTTCTGTGGATTGGCATTTTTTGGTGAAACAGTCTCATCAGAAAATTTTCCATCTCGTGGTCTTCCAGAAACACACTGTCCAGAGCTGTATCCTGTCGTGTTCTCCTCCCTCCCCCAACTCCCCCACCCAAGTTGTCACTGATTCTTCTCTCCTTCCCACTTTTCTTTTGCTGCCTTTTTAACGTTTTAAAAAGTACTCAATGCTTGATTTTATTCCTTTCTCTCCTCCGTTTTCCATACGGTGTGAGGTTCTAGACCTGTACTATAGTTACTTCATGTAGACAAACTCTTCTCTCACACTTTCAGTCATTTTCAATTAAGATCATACCTCCTTTTTATAAAAAGCAAGTAGACTGGTGTGTGATTTTAGTTCATGAAATACTTTGGTCAAACTTTTCAGACATGGATGCCCAAAGTGTAACGCTTGCTTCCAAAAGACACCTAAGTCACCAGGATCCATCGGTCTTCAGCTATTGTTAAGACTGCGCCAATCACAACACGTCCACCATTCGTCTCACACTCTTGCCTTTCTTCTCCACGTTTGTCCAAAACGTTTAACAATGTCATCTTCCCATCTTCTTGGAGGCCGACCAAGTGGTCTTTTCTGTTCTCGCGGGTACCACTCAGCAATAATTGTGGTCCACCTGTTGTCCATGGCCTGCCTATCGCATTTTGTTATGTCTGTTTTCCACGATGATATCTTTCTCACCACTGCGTTCTCTGATCATTTCATTTGGAAGACGATCCAGAAAGGAAATTCTCAACATAGCTTGCTCCATTGTCCTTTCAGCTACCAATAGTTGCTGCTCTTCTCAGTGCCCATGCTTCACTGCTATACAACATGGCCGGCAGCACTGTTGAATTGAAGATATTTGTACGTGTGGTCTTATGGATTTTTCCTTTGAGGATGTCCTTGATGGAACTGAATGCACACCATCCTGCCCAAATACTTTGCGAGAATTCTCCGTTTAGATCTTGGAGCATATTAATTTCTTGGCCCAAATATATGTACTGTTCCACTACTTCGATTTCTTCTCCTGTTATCGTTATTCGGGCTTTTCGTAAGGCGTCTGATCGCATGTATTTCGTTTTGCAGTGGTTCATTTTCAGACCGACCTGACTGCTTTTCTTGTCAAATCTTCGTAGCATGCTTTACAATTGGTTGGTGCTTTCAGCAATTAATACAATGTTGTCTGCAAATCTGAGAGGAGATAATCATTCTCCATTTATGTTGACACCACTCCGCCAATTGACCTTGTTCATAACCATTTTGAGGCATGCAGTGAATAGTTTCAGTGAAATTGTATCTCCTTGCTTCACGCCTTTCTCGATTGGGATATGAAGGGGAGTTTCAAGGATAGTAATATCTGTTGTACATCCAGTATTCGCAGAGCAGGGCAATATTGCGTGTTAATGCCCTGCTCTGCGAGCGCCTTTAATATTATGTTTAACTTGATGGCTATCGAAGGCCTTTTCCTAGTCGACGACAGCAATGCACAGCGGAAGTTTGTATTCCCTCGCTCTTTCTAGGAGCTGGCTAAGAGTAAATATATGGTCGATCGTGCTGAAATTTCTTTGAAACCCTGCCTGCTCTCTCGGCTGTTGTTCATCCAGGCTCTGCGAAAGTCGGTTTGTTATCACATTTGTAAAGAGCTTATAAATATGAGAGAGTAGGCATACAGGGCGGTAATTCTTAAGATTTTCTTGATCACCCTTCTTGTGAAGCAAGATGGTATTTGACTCCTTCCAGCTTGATGGTATTTTTCCTTCTTCAAGATTTTGACTGAATCTTAAAGCGAGGGCCTTCCAAAGTTTTTCGCCTCCTGCAGAAATCATTTCTGATGTTATTCCATCTTTGCCTGGAGCTTTTCCCTTCATCTGGTATAGTGCACTTCGGGTTTCGCTGACAATTATTGGGAGGACGCGTTCTTCTGACTCCTGGAGCATTGGGAGAGAGATGTTGATTCTTGATTTGAATAGTTCTGTATAGAAGTCCTTACAGACCTCCTCCATCCCTGCTCTGTCGATAACTGTCTCTCCATCCTTGTTCTTCAATGTTGTTACGCTCAGTCTATACTGCGTCAATTCCCCCTTGCATGTCCTAAAGCTTTTGCGTGATTCAGCTGTTTTGAGGAGTTTTTCTTTCTGGAAGTTCTCAAAAATCATCCTTCAGTTTTTGCCGTATAAGCTTGCATAGAATGGAGTACTCGAAGTTGTTATCCGAGCTCTTTTTCATGTTTCTCCACTTCTCCAGCAGGCTATTTGTTTCCTTTGAGATTCTTCCCTTCACCTTCTTCGACTTTTCAATTTCTGCTGCTTTTAAGCAACATCTCAGCTTGTCAGAGGTATTGAGTGCCAGTGACATTAGGTCACTTGGAGCTGAGCACCTCACTATCGAGTCCTCTCTTGGAAAATTACGGCATTAATACTTAAAGCTAATAAAAAGTTTTGGTGTGAAGGCAGGTGTTCACACTGAATTCCCGCTGCTGGTTCTATGTCCTGGATGTATTTTTGAAGTGCCACTGTTGAATCAAGAGATTATGGCCATGATCTTCACAGACATGGGTCGCTTTTGGCGAACAAGAATTCCAAGTAAACATTTTATCACTTTGGCTTTTTACAGATAATTAGAATAGTTTGCTATTGGTGATCTCGGCATATTTAGAGAAGGAATACATCTAATTGTGACAGTCTTCCAGACAATGCACTCATGCTGCTTACCTTCTTGAAATCAAGGCTGTGGTCTGAGTTTCTCCTTCAGTTGCATGAATTGGAATTTTTTTGTCCCAAGCTGTTGCATTAAAAATAGTTTAAATCCAGCAATTGTGACGATGTTCTATGTAGAGTAAATACGATATAGCAATAGCGAAGCTTATACTTTTTCAGATATTTATGTAGTACCATTGCCTGGAATCACTGCCAGTTAGTTGTGCTGAGGACCAGTTTGAGGTGTATGAAAAGCCCAGGGTACATTGCAGTACATGAAGTATTTGGTTTAGCTTTGTTGTGCCTCTCTCTAAGAAATGTTAAGGAATTTGTTTCCCCAAAGTCAACTTATAAATGCAACTGACAGTAGAAATTTCTGAAGTGTTTCAGAAATGTCCTTGATGCCTCAGCCAGGTATATTTAACTTCCTGACTTCTCCTTACCTAGTCTCTATCTCCCCCATTAACTTTCCAGTATTCTTGTAGAAGTGCCAGTGAGTGTCTTTTCAGTATTGACCAGACTTGATGTGCAGAAGTAAATCTGCTATGTTCCCACAATCAGCCCAAAAAAGCATTGAGATCAACTTTTTGCAACTCTGGCATTTCATAGCCTTTTGTTAATTACACTTCCAGTTGCTTTTTCGGTGAAACTCCTGGTTTACAAGGATGGCTACGCTGTTTTGAGTTATACTTGCCATCAGTGACCTTTTTCAAGATATTTGACTCACGTATTATGTAGTATATAAATCAGAAGTTTTAATATAATGTATAAAACTTAAACAACAAATAATTTAGTAGCACTTTAAAGACTAACAAAACATGTAGATGGTATCATGAGCTTTCGTGGGCACAGCCCACTTCAGAATTGGCATGGAAACTGTATAATACACCTTTTTTGGGGGGTAAATTCCCCCACCAATTTTAATTTTAAAAAAGTACTGTTAAACTGCAGAGTAGTTTTAAAATGTCCTCTCCTGTACCATGTATTTGTAGAAATGTATAGGTTTGTTTCTTGTTCATTTTTGTTTCTAGGTTGCCCATATGAGTTTGTCTCTCTCGAATGGTTACAGAAATGGCTGGATGAATCTGCTCCTCCCAAACCCATAGATAACACTGCATGCTTGTGTTCACATGGCAAATTGCACCCTGATAAAATATCCATTATGAAGAGAATATCTGAGTATGTTGCTGACTACTTTTACCGGCGATATGGAGGTGGCCCCAGGCTAAATGGTAACTTTAAACTAGTGCATAGAAAACACTCGCGTGACATTTACTTTTAGGATTTAAATTTTTGTACATTGAAATCTGTTTTGCATCCTGTGTCAGCTTCCTTTTTTGCCTGGCCATCCGTCCTGCTTGTATTTTTCTAGATGGCCGCTTTTGATAGTGCTGCTTAGTTATGGTTAAACAGCTGGCTGGGGAATATGAATGGTCGATACATTTCAGATCTTGAGTCTGCTTTGTGCCCTGAAGCAGTTTTGTGCAGTTCCTATAAAAGGAAATGGCATATTTAGGTTAAAGACTTGAGTATTTTAATGAAGCTTTTTAAAATAAACATTTTGTAAAATAGCAAAACTTGTATAAAGACTCTAAAATGAGAATGAGGGGGAGCTCCTGGACCTATTGTTTCTATCAGTGCTCTGTAGGCAGTGGATGCATTGCGTCATTCTCTGCTGACAAAAGCCGGTATTTCGGTACATTATTCTCAGCTCAGGGAAGAAGGGAGGTTGTGCTAGCCAAGGAGAGGAACTGTTGTATTTCACCTGTAGATGTTCCCCAAGCAGCTCCGTGCTAGGAAGTACAGCCGCTCCCCGAGTTACGGACCAAAGACATAATTTGAAGTGTTCGTAACTCGGATCCCATAGAGTTACATGGCAACCGCGCTGTTCGTAAGCGCGGATCGCCATTTGTAACTCGGATCCGCATTTACAACCGCTTTGGTCGTAAGTGCGAATGGTTGTAAGTGGAGGTGGCCGTAACTCGGGGAGCGGCTGTATATTTATACTGCTTGTACACTGTATGTTCACATTCTTTGGCTGTGTGTTTAATGGTAAAACAGAAATTTGCAATAGCAGTCATGTTTAAACCCTAGGTCTACACACATTGCTCTTAAGTTTGTTCTAGTTAATATAAGCTGTTAATATCAGACATGCAGATTTGTGAAACTGAGGCGATGAGACGTATTGATGCTAAAGGAGCAGATCCTCATCAAAAGCTTACCTCAGTTAGGGATGTTACATATCGAGTCATTGAATAAGTGTGTAACTGGGGTCAAATTTTGCGGTTGCATGGTTATTTGATAGTCTCCTGGCGTGGGGCTGGCAGCCAGTGCGCACTCAGTCCCTCTCCCGGGGAGCCCCCCGTCACCCCGTGAGGGGAGCTGTTTTGAAAGTCTGCTCCCCCAGAGCACTGGCAGCGCCGCCTGCCCCTTCCCCAGGCAGGCAAGTGGCTCTGAGTAGCTGGCACGCATGGAAAGCTGGCTTCCCCTGTGTAGTGGCTCCCGTCTGCTCCCCTCACCTCTGCACTGCTGTCCCTCTTTCAGAAATAGCAGCATGGGGGAGTGAAGGGAGAGGGCAGGCAACTCCCCCTGGATCTAGTGCTTGTGGGGCTCTGGCTTACAAGCTGGCTCTCCACAGGCACTGGCTCCTGCCTCTCCCCCTCCCCTTGCTGCCTCTGGGGAATGCACGTAGTTGATAGAATTAACCGATGAGCCCAGGGGGAGCTCTTGGACCCGTTATTTCTATCCATGCTCTATAGGCAGTGCCTTGGTCCAGTTCATCTGTTACTGTGTATTTCCATCTAAATCAGGATATAGGTGTCACTGTCAGTAACCACAGGAAGCTCACTTGACTGAGTTGCTTCCAGTGGTGGTGCCCGAGCTGCAGAAGTTATTTTGTTTTGAAGGGTCACAGTAGTATTCTTAACACAGCGGTGTCTCTCTTTTGTTTCTCTAGTAAAAGCACTTTGCAAGGACTGTGTGGTAGAGAGGTGTCGGATATTACGACTGAAAAACCAATTAAACGAAGACTATAAAACTGTCACAAACTTGCTGAAAATTACAGTAAAAGGGTATGTGGTGCTGGCCCATTCCAGTGTTTGCATTGTGCAAGTCTGTTCAGTGATATTTACATTTTTAACAATGAGATGTGAACAGTTGTTTGCAACATTGTAGCCATCCCAGGTTGTAAGAGAATATGGGTTAGGTAATATCTTTTATTGAACCAACTCCGGTTTGGGAAAGAGACGCGCTTTTGAGCTTGCCCATAAGCTTCGAGACACGAAGAGGAACTGGAAATGGTCCAACAAAGATGTTAACAGCTCGCCTTTTGAACCAAAACCTGTAAGTCTAATTTAAGGATTGTATTGTTAATGTTGTCTTTCTTTCTGTACAGTAATGATGGATTTTGGGTTGGAAAGTCATCCTTGCGGAGTTGGCGTCAGTTGGCTCTGGAACAATTAAATGAGCAAGATGATGATGCAGACCAGAGTAATGGGAAAATGAATGGAGATGCACAAAGCAAAGGTAGCTGTTTAAAACTAGGCAACCTGATTTCTCCCCCTACCTGAGAAATAGATTGCATGTTCCTATAGTGTGTACGCATTCTAGCAATTCTGTTTCAGTTGTAGGAATCGCTGCTGTTTTGAGCAGGTCTGAATGATGTGCAGTACCCTCTGAGTTAACACGCGAGTTACCAACTGACCAGTTGAATGCACGTCCCATTTGGAACTGGAAGTGCATAGTCCAAAAAGAGGCAAACATAGCACTGTATTAAACTACTAAAAAAAGAAAGCATTTTCCTTCTGCATAATGCAGCTTTGAATCTTTACTAAGTCAATATTAATTTGTAAACTTTTGAAAGAACAACCATAAGGCTTTGTTCAGAGTTGCAAACAACCTCCATTCCTGAGGTGCCCGTAACTCTGGGGTTCTACTGTAATACCAAGTAGCAGGTACAGGAGGCCCCCAACTTGCGACTGCCTGAGTTCCTACCCCCCAAATTACATCCATGTTTGTAAGTGCGGAAGGGGCTGAAAACCCCCAACTTTCATCCTCGGCCCACATTTATGACGGCGCACAGCGCCTATCGTAAATGAGGGTTCGAGTTACAATGCCTCCAACTCGCCACTTCCCGGGAACCAGTCGTGTTGCAAGTCTAATACAGGGCCTCCTGTATTAGACCCAGTTTGAATAATTTCAGAAACAGCATGTACTTATTTTCTTACAGATTTGGGCCAGTCAAACTCTGCCATTTCTTACACCCATGTAATCGCACTTACACCTGACGGTAGAATCTGGCCCTGCAGTTGGCCCATAAGCCCCATTCCCACTATGGCTGTAGCAATACAGCTACGACACTAGCTATGCCACTGGCACCATACCGTAGTGAGTTCCTACAGCGATGGAAGGGCTTTTTCTGCGGCTATGGGAACTCCACCTCCCTGAACAACGGTAGCTAAGCTGCTGGAAGCATTCTTCCATTAGTCATGTCTACATTGGGGCTTAGTTTGGCTGAGCTGTGGCACATAAGGGTGTGAATTTTTCACATCCCCTGAGAGCTGTACCTTTGTCAACTTAACTTTGCAAATGTAAACCAGTTGTCAGCTATATTTAAGTGCAGTCCCATTTTATTTTCCCCTGCAGAGCTAATAGGAGTGACTAGTAAAAACTTCCCTTTGTCACAGTAAGCATGTGTTTCTGGGTTGCCTGCATTTTCCAAAACAGAAAAGGCACAATCCTGTCTCAAAGTTACTCGTGGAAGCCACTGGAGTGGAATGGTGCTTGGTCTCATTTGAATGGGTACATCTGGTTTGGATCAGACTCCTCAAGGCAAAGATCTGACCAATATTTTGCCTGTAAGATTTCTGTTCCCTCCACTTCGATCTGGTGCGAACTGTTCTATTCATTTCCATCTGAGCTTTTTGGGAGCAGTGAAAAGCCCCAGTGTTTCAGCTATGATGAATGCCACCTTTATGATCTCATGTCAAAGCTAATCTTGCACTCTATGTTCTTCAGAGTCTCGGTAGCCAGGTTAGCCTGTAACTTTAAAATGAGTAGTCCTGTGGCATCTTAGAGACTAACAATAAGTACATATAATATCCTGCGCTTTTGTTTGCAAAACCCGCTTCGTCATATATGAGAAGCTTTGTCCCATGAGATAAGCGAGCTTATGATCCTAATACATAGTTTGTGTGCGTGTGCGTGCGTGCTCCGGTCTACACTAGGGAGTTATTTCGAAATAACAAGTAGAGCGTCCATGCTACCAAGCCTGTTTTGAAATAACAACTCCTGCTTTCCTTGGGGAATACGCTTTTTTTGAAATAGTTATTTTGGGAGTTATTTCAAAATATGTCATTTAAAAAAAAATCCTCGTGTAGACATGCCCTAAGGTGACATGGAACTACTAGTTTTTCCATGTACTTCAGAGCACTCAAAATATATTGTGTGTACAAGCCTGCCCTCGCCAATAAACTTAATTGTATATTGCTGTTAAAAGTTTGCAGCAATTTGAAAAGGAAACAAATTGTTGTGATTCCTCCAGAGAATCAAACCCTACATCAGAGAGCATCTGAGCAATCTACTTTTTTTTCATCAGATGAGTCAAATGAAGAAAAGAGGGAGGAGGAAGAGGAGTTAAATTTTAATGAAGACCTTGTCTGCCCACACGGTAAGTGCGTATGTAGGGGCAGAATTGAGCACATAGTATTTGGAAGACCCGTTATTTCCATATTTGTTCTGCAAAACCCAAGATTAGCTGGGCTTAAATTTATTTCTGATTGACTTTGCTTTTCTTAAATGTTTATTACGTGATCACAGCTCACATTCAAATCAGAGCTCATGAGCTAGTGATATGGTGGGATAGTTTTGATGGGAGACTTCCGAGGAGAATCTAGATCAGTGATCCAATTAGATGTACCCTCAGACTGATTTGAAAATTTTATGACAAGCGGTGGGCCATTTGCATTGAAGGCAAACTTCAGCTGCTAATTAATAAAGATCTTGATTGTAACAAGTATTAGCGTATTTATCTTTAACACAGTTTTTAAATCAGCGTTGTTACCTGTGCTTGTGGCAATCCCTGATGTGAGGTTTGTGGGAGTTAAGGGCAAGGCACCTGCACTAGTAGATCTACATCTGAGGGGCTGGCAGTGTTGTTTGAATAATATTCATGGTAGAAGACCCTGATTTGCATAGGTATGTTGATCAAACATTGCTAAAAGATAGATGGCTGGATTCTGAAACTGAATCCAGAAATCAAAGTCCCACTTCTGAGTTTTCCCTTCAAGAACATCTGAGTTCTGGAGCCTTGCAATTTCTCATTGAAAGGCACCTTCATCAGCTGAATGAAGAATGTTCTTGTCTTCAGCATAAGACAATAAACAGATTACAAATAAATACAAGCAAATATTTTCAATGAGATCGTTTAGGAATTCTTGTGTTGCTTTCATCAAAGATTCATGTGTAGCAGTGACATGCAGTGTGGGAAAGTGCAGCATCTTGATTAGTTGGGATTGGCCCTGCCCTGGGCAGGGGGCAGAACTTGATGATCTCCTGAGGTCTCTTTCAGCTCTATGATTCTATGAATCTATCTTTCCTGTTAAGTCTGTCTGACAGATTTCAAGATCCTCTGACTGCAGATGCTTTTTCAATGAGATCTCTGACGCTGCTCATGTGGCTTTGGAGCAGGAAGTTGAGGGAATTCAGGTGATGGGTGATATTGCACAGAAAAGCTGCCTGTGACAGATAGGGGACCTCATTCCTAAATTCCAAGAACTCGCAAGCCTCATTAGTTTGCGGTTTGAAAGACATTCTGCTTCTTTTTGAAGAGAACGAAACCTCTCTAATATACAGTAACTCTTCACTTAACGTTGTAATGTGTTCCTGAAAAATGCCACTTTAAGCAAAACTATGTAAAGCAAATCCAGTTTCCCCATAAGAATTAATGTAAATGAGCAGGAGGTTAGATTGCAGGGAAATGTTTTTCAACAGACAAAAGACAGCCCATACATATACTGTAATTTTAACCGATTCTATCGCATGTAGTGCTGTACACGGCCAGGGTGCGTGTGATGCTTGGCTGAGGGGGTGGAGTCCGAGGATGGAACATGTCCCAGGGAATGTCTTGCTGTTCAGTAATGGACTAGCACTTGGCTGAGCCCTCATGGGTAACACCTTAATGAAGCTTCGCGCTCTAGGCTGCAGCAGGGCAGGGCAGTGACTGTATTATCATGAGGTAATCGGAGCAATTAGGCACTATCTTCAGGTCTGTCGGGGAACTAATAAAAGATGCACGCTTTTGGATTAATAAAGGCATGTTCTCAAATAGAATGGCTAAAATGTCATTTTAACCATTTTAATTGACAGTCCCACAAGACTAATACAAAACTGCAGAGCAGAATGATCCATCATAAGCATTTTGAAAATATTTCCCTGCATATTAGTAGGTTCATTTATAAATTGATCTGCCACTTGAATCCACGTAAAAATGAATTACATTAAACACTGAGGCCATCAAAAGTGCAGGTTTCATTATCATGAGCTAACCGCGGATTGTTCGTGTAAAATGCCCTTTTCATCTTTATGCATTCAGTATTTTCCACCGAATTAAGTGGAATTGGCTAATTTCTCTTCTGTAGAATGAGCTTTAATTTTGCAGTGGAAAAAACCTGCTGCCATAATGGTGCTTTCTGCAAAGCCTGATGCTTGAGCTATTGTTTTTGGACGCAAGCCAAACCTATCCGATGGGTTTTTCCTCTTAAAAATTCCTACTACCATCTTCTTACATACATATGTCAGGACCTTTTGCATCTCTAATTCATCTCTGGTTATTTCTCCCTCTCCACTAGTTTCCTGACGCCATTGAATATATTTATTTTTCTGCTTACCAGATTAGGCCATCTTTGATGTTCTTGCTCAGAATCTACCTCTGGGGGCAGGAGGGGGGAGAAGAGAGATGACGATGGTGATGATGAGAGGGGACAGTGATCAGGGTCTTTGCCTTATGGATGGTCCAGCATTTGCATTGACTCGATTTCCCACTTCTCACTTAGCTTATTCGTCTGTTTTCATTCATCGTATGATGTCAGAGCAATTGCTTGCACAGCCTTATTTTCATACCCCTGATGGTTTTTGAAAACTATGCACATCCTGCTTTCCCCATATGGAGATCTAGGTTAATAGCTGGTCAAATGTAGCAGCTGTTTCATTAAATGCTGTTTTAAAGCAATCCAGTCTGACCTTTGTTTATTGTCAGTAAGCCAGGAATGGAGTGTTGCTCCTTTGTCTTTGGGAAATTGGCAGGAGTTGAGACTGTCAGAGTGAGAGAAGATGCAGGTCAGTGACACTGAAGACTTGTTTTCATACTGAAGAAATTCAGTTGAGGAGTTCCCCCAGGTTTGTTTCTGTATCTTGTGGCTCACCCAACCCCCTCTCATAGTGGGGTAGGCAAGAGAAAAGAGAAACTTTTCAATAGTAGTTAGCTCCCTCAAGTGCAACAGATTGTCAAGTTTTGCTTCCCACTGTTGGTTAATGCTCACTTTAAAGGTTGAGCATTGTTGTTTCCCATGCCAGTGGTTGGTGCTTTATCCTCTATTCTGAAATTATTATTAGCCTTTTGTTGTGCATCAGCATTGTTACATTGTAGCATCACCAGGCTTTTGACTTAGCAGCAGCGGCTGAAAATAGAGGGCTCAGTTGTGTTTGTACCTTCCCCTTCGCAACTAGAAGTCAGGCAAAAATGATGGCTTGTTCAATCCGTCACCCATGAACTAGCAGAGTTTCCCGTGTGTGCAATACTGTGTTTTCACACCACATTGACTCTTGCACATAAATGTGGTGCCTCTTCTGCAGCTCTCTGATCTTTTTTGGCATAGCTGTTATCAGAATAATTCACAAATGCTTTCTGTAGTTCATTGAATGGCTTTGTCAGGTTTTTTGTCTGTCCTGATAGTTCAAGAGAAATGATATATAGGCGGTTGGCATTATTTTTAATAATATTTGGTACACTTCATATTATTTTATCCTTGCACACAATTAATTCCACCCAACTGAATGAAATAAGGTACTTTCTTGGTCAAAAGGTGCACGTGATGGTGTACTGCAGGTAGCATTCCGCTTTCTGTGCAGTTTGTGCATTTCACCTTTTTCCAAGATGGGCATTATGGAAGGAGGAATTTGCCGTGTTTTAATTATGGCTCCTTGCTGTTTGAGTGTCCTGTACATCTTATTCTAAGCCATTGCTGCTGAAATGTGGAGTTTTAAACACAGTAGCTTTCAGAGGTGTAGTTGTCAGATGTATGGGGAGAACATTTTGAGCAGAATTTTCAGTGCCTGAAGTCCTGTTTAGGCAAATAGGTCATGATAGCCTTGTTTTTCAGAGGTATATAGCACATCCAGCTTCCATTTTAAGTCAGTAAAAATTTGTAGGGTGCTTAGCACTTTTGAAAATCAAATCACTTTTTAGATACCTAATTTGAGACATCCACAAATGGGAAAACGTTAGTCCTTCTGTGTGTGTTTGTACCCGCTCTCCTGGAGCTGTTCTTGCCCTTAATTCTCTTCCTGTTGTTCATGGATTTCTGTCTTTCCTTTCCTCTTGTTGTATTTGGATCTGCTGCTCAGGGACATGGCTTTATAAATCCAAAGGGCAGTCTTGTAGATTAGTCCTTTTAAATAGGAGTGCTGTATTTAAGAATGTATTGGTTTAGCTTTTAAAATAATTACCTATAATTCTTAAAACATACTGTTGCTGAGAGTAAACACTAAAATCCTACCTCCAGGAGGAAACTGAATCCTTCATGGGGATGGAAATAAAGGCTGAAGGTGACTTTATGCAAAAAAAAGTGTTTGTTTTTTTTAATTCAAGTGCTGACACAGGTGTCAGATTATAATGGTGTAAAATCTCCTGCTCCACTCATACAAGTAATCTTTTAAATCTGCGTAGTGCTGCAAAATTTTGGCTGAGGCTGCACTAAACAAAATGCGGTCTTGAATTTCTTCTTGCAGGTGACCTGTGCATATCAGAAAATGAAAGAAAGGTTGTTTCTAAAGAAGCCTGGATGAAGCTCAAGCAGTATTTTCCAAAGGCCCCAGAATTTCCATATAGCAAGGAGTGCTGCTCCCAGTGCAAGGTATCTGACTAGTTGATGTACGGTGGTAGCTGTCAGATTCATGCTGGCATGAACATGGCTTAAAATGTGTAGGATGAAAAAAAAATCTGCCTTTACTTCTTTACTAGTGCCTTTTGGGAACTAAACCCCAGTGGCCAAAAGAGCATTGTTTTCACGCAGATCCTGGAAAGAGAAGGAGAGGAGAATGAAGCCCTGCATAAGATGATGGCAAGTGAGCAGAAGACTGCACTCCAGAACCTGTTTCAAGACAAATGCAGACCTTGCCTTGGTAGCTGGCCTCAGGTACAAAGACGAAGGAAGTTTGTCTCCCAGACATGGGAAAAGGCTGTTACTGTACTCTTGCATCTGACGAGAGACTGCAGAATGCTGCTGTGTTGTAGGTGGGGGGAGGGAATCCATGAGCAAAATATTAGACTCTGCAACCACGGGGTTAAGGAACATTTTTGCAATAAGCTTTAAGCTCTGACTTGGACATTCTCTTTGGATAAAGAGCTCCTGGGTGCTCTTTGGACTGGCACTTGCGGAGGTGCAACTCTTACAAGAGAATGTCCTTTAAAATGAAGACTAGCGAGTGCTAGTAAGTCAGCTTCCTCCGGTACCGTCTTTGTGGAATCTTCGTGCCTGCGAGATGTGCTTAGGCTGTCTGGTGCCTTGGGTACGGTGCTGGCCCTGTTTCTGCTGTGTCCGAGCACCTCTCAAACTTGAAATGCATTTGTTCTCCCCATCCTGTGTGAGGCTGAGCAGGGCCTTTATCCCAGTTGTACAGCTGGGGGTGGAATCTTTGTGCCTGCAAGATGTGCTCGGGCTGTCTGGGGCCAAGCAGGGAACGGATCCTGGATCTCCTGAATCCTTAAGTTGATGTTCCAGCCATTGGAGCAGCCCTGGTTGCATGGAGGTTGATACTTGGTCAGAGAAATTAGTGTTTCCCTTTCTGTCCAAATGTCAATCAAACATCAGTCAGTAAAACTTCTTCTCAGCCTAGTTCCGCAGTACGGCCTCCTGCCTGGGTCTTAGCCCAGATGGCAGACCGAGGAGCAGTGGTTCACATTGCAGCGGGTGAGGTCTAGGTTGGCTATTAGGAAAAAGGAATTCCCTAGGAGGGTGGGGAAGCACTGGGATGGGTTCTCTAGGGAGGGGGTGGAATCTCCATCCCTAGAGGTTTTTAAATCCCAGCTTGTAGCCCTGGTTAGGGTGATTGAGTTGGGATTAGTCCTGCTTTGGGCAGGGGGTTGGATTTGATGACTCCTGAGGTCTTTTCCAACCCAATGATTCTATGAATGTTGAACAGATTCATCCAGGATCTTGTCAAGCATCCAGGACATTTGGTGCAATAATCCAGCTACTCCTGTAATCATCCCTCCAGCTTTCCAGAGAGATGTTCATGTAGGTCTGGTTGCAGAAAGGCAGCTGTAAAAGCTACATGCTGCACAAGTCATTGGGGCAAGGTGTGGGAGCAGAAATGGCAGCCCACAAACAAGAAGATTTTGCCTTTTATGTTCATTCTCTCAAAAGAGAAGTGGTGTCCACTGCCCTTGTTCTGCAAGGCACGTCTGCGTGTACCAAAGAAAGAGTTTCCCTTTTATCAACCAGTTGCTGTTACCGTTAGTGCCTCAGTGGTTTGCACTGTAGCATTAGGGTGATGTGTTCTTATTGGAGTATAGTTGAATTGTTTTCTGTCCTGAGGGCGCTACTCTGTCTGAGGGCCGCCTTTGGTCCTTGAGCGTCTCAATACATTGAAGAAGAAGGTAACATGACTGTAGTTCTGTGTGTGTTGCACTTGCTGCTCCCGTGGAGCTGGGCTAGCATAAACAAGGAGTCCCGTGGCACCTTATGGCAAACAGATTCCTTGGGGTAAGCTTTGGTGGGCAAAGACCCACTGCGTCCGATGCAGTTAGAGCAGTGGCACCGGGATAGGATGCTAATTAGTCTTCTGCACCGCAGGGCTGGGTTTAGAGCACTGGCTGGTGAGTGGGTGCTGGGGGATTCTATTCTGAGCCCTGCTAGCGGGAATGGCGAGTGGCTTTGCCAGCAGCAGGCAAACATGGGGAGTCTTTAAGCAGCAAACAAGTCACAGGTAGGGGTGGGGGTTGTGAACGCTTGGGGCCCATCATGAGCGGAGTAGCAAGGCTGTTTGCAATACCGCTCCACTGAGCATGGGTGGGAATGTTGTACTAGCAGCAAATCCCAGTAAACCAGTTAAACCGGTTCCTCCCTCCCCTTCCCTGCAGGGCTGCCCGCTTCTGCTCTTGGCCCCCCTGCAGGGCTGTAGCAGCCCTCTGCTTGTGGTGGGCTGCTACGGAGTACCAGTTAATCGGTGCCCGGTAAGAGCAATGCACATCCTTGCAATCTCCATGCATTAGTATTGCAGTTCGAATGTAACTTTTGAAAACCTCATCGAATCAATTTCAGGGATGTTCTAGCATCAAAGGGCAGAACCCTGTTGATTTTGGTGAAAACCAGAAAGGGAAAATGAGGGGGAAGACATCCCTGGCATCTTATTAGCACATTATTCCTGGGGAATTCTTGGCCAAAAAATCTAAAATTCTGCATATTTTATTTGTCAAAAGCAATATAATTGCACCAATTTCACTTATCTTGGTAATTTATTTGAACTACTATACAGGGAAAAAATCAATAGGAAATGGTGAACAGTTAAACACGTTAAAGTTACGTTACAGATACTTGGTAACCAAGGCCCTGCATTCCATTTACAACCCTGGATTATCATTTTTGTTACTTTCATTGTGGTAGAAGTGCCCAGACTTTCACACAAGAAAATGATTCAGTTTTGCTAATCGTCCCACATTTAAAAAAAAATGGTAAGTCAGCTAGATTCTGAACTGTAATGTAACCCCACCGTGCCTTTCTGACACGGGGCGGGATTCAGTTACTGTTGTTAGCATGGTGTAAAGGAGCCTTACTGCGAGCAATTTAAAGGAGCCTTAATTAATTAAGAATGACTCTAATGGTGCTGGGTTGTGCCATGAGTGCAGGGGATTGGACTAGGTGGACCTCTCGGGTAGGGGTGCCAGGTGTCCGGTATTGGCCTGGACAGTCCGATATTTGTGGCCTCTGTGGTAAAAGAAAACAAACAGAAAATACCGGACATGTAAAATGTTTTTCTCGGACGGAAGGCTGCTTGGGACATTCCTCTCCTGCCACGTCTGGTGAGGGGGGAAGGGGGAACGTGGCGCGGGGGGATTTAAAGGCGCATTGACTTTTTTTGTGCAGTTGGGTTTTTTGTTTTGGTTTTCGGTTTTTTGCTCAACAACTTCAGTTCCTTCCCCTTTCCTGCCATGATTGATATTTTTTGTGAGTATCTGGCAACCCTATGTCTGAAGGTCCTTCCGGTTCTATGATTTTGTTGTCTTGGATGGCAGTGACTAATCTTCCCCCACCATTCCCTCCACACGCGCGCGCACAAACCCTGCACTTGGAGAGAAAAAAATTCCAAAAAGGTCCATCACCACTTGTAGCCAGGGTTAGGAAGGGTGTCCCTGGCCTCTATTTGTCAGCTGCTGGAAATGGGCGACGGGAGGGATCACGTGATGACTCCCTGGTCTGTTCACCCCCTCTGGGGCTCCTGGCGCTGGCCGCTGTCGGCCCACGGGACACTGGGCTGGATGGGTCTTTGGTGCGACCCAGTCTAGCCGTTCTGATGTTCTTAAGGCTGGGAATTATTAGCCTTTTCTGTTGTCCCATTTGTGCTCTGCCTGCTTCACACAGCCCTACACCTCCATGCCCTGGATGCAGCAGGAGCAAGAGCGTGACAGAGTGAATCACTCATTCACATACAGGCAGGCGCCCAGCCCCACCCCCTTACTGTCTGGACCCGTGCTGACATGCCAGCCCCTCTGCTGCTGTGATTGGCTCTCAGCGGAAGGCGTGTGTACGTCACAGATTTCTTTACGCTCCCATTTTTCTGCTGAGGAGCTAAGAAATCTGCAAAAGGTCTGAATTCTGTGCCCCAGGCAGGGGGCAGAATTCCCCCAGGAGTTGCACATTCAGCGGATTCAGTCATCTCTGTCATTGTCTGTAGATCAACCAACCAGTTCATGGCTGCCATTGCAACATTGCCTCGTGCCTCCATCACCATCCCACCTCTGCCCTTCCTCCCAGTAGACCTCAACGTGTTAATGCCCTGAACGGCTGCAGGAAGCGCACACAGTCCCTGGCATGGAGTGAGAACAGAGGTCTTGGCATGAGGGGACAGAGGAATGGGAACACGCAGCCTTGAAAGAGAAAATGGAGGATAAAAGTCTGAGGATACACAATAGCATGAGGGATCCTGGTACAGGCAGAGGAGGGAAATAAGGGACACAATGCCCCACTATGTATGTGAGGATGAGGGTTCTAAGGAGACCCTGTAGTAATGGGGATGGGAGGCTGGCCCAGGGTACTTGCGGGTGGGGTATGGAGGAATGCCAGTGGCCTCTTTTGTGTGCAACAAGATCTGCACATCAAAGCAGCAAACTGTGCATCTGTGGTTAGGTGGAGTATGTTCTGCCGGCTAATCACAGGCTGTGCGTGCCATAAAGTTTGCTGGAACTCAGTAGAAATTATTTCTACAACGGACTAAAGATAATTCAGTTTTGTGCCCAATTAACAGTCTAATGTAACATAAGCAGTAACACAGGGTTTACTGTGTGCTATGTTCTTGTATTGATCTCCAATTATATCAGCTGGCTTTCAGAAGCCATGCTGGAATCGAGTGATTGTAAATGTTGGGCCCTAGAAAAGGAGCAGGTACAACCAAGACCATGAAAACTTAGGTTTTTTCTATCTCCGTTGTCAGGTTAATTTAAATGAAGTCTGTTTTTCCAGGAGACAGATGAGCTCTACATTGTATCACAGTTCTTTGTAGAAGAATGGAGGAAATTTGTAAGGTAAATTGGTTCATATTTTAAATCTTCACAGAACTTCCTTAATTCCTTGTAGTGTTCTATGTAGCACTTTGACTTTTGGATGATCTGGGTTGTGCAGTGTAGAATTGGCTGATACCCTACTGTGCCCTGACTGACCTTGTGGCAGTAAGGAAGTACTGAGATGTTTAATCTGGGATTGAGCACTATAGGTTCTAAGAAACAACAGATGTTCATGTTTACATTGTCTCCGCAAGGTGGTCCGGCTAGATCCCAGATTGATTAGTTAAATCAATATCCTGGCCAAAGGACATAACTCTCAGTCCTGCTTCTGTAATCTGTCATATGTAGGAGTATGTATGCACTACCCCCCTAGTTCGAACTAGCGGGGCAATGTAGTCATCCGCAGTTGCAAATGAAGCCCGGGATTTGAATTTCCCGGGCTTCATTTGCATGAAGCCGGCCTGCACCATTTTTAAATGCCAGCTAGTTCGAACCCCGTGCCGCGCGGCTACACGCGGCACGGAGTAGCTAGTTCGGATTAGGCTTCGAACTAGCTACTCCGTGCCGCGTGTAGCCGCGCGGCACGGGGTTCGAACTAGTCGGCATTTAAAAATGGTGCCGGCCAGCTTCATGCAAATGAAGCCCGGGAAATTCAAATCCCAGGCTTCATTTGCAACTGCGGATGACTACATTACCCCCGCTAGTTCGAACTAGGGGGTAGTGTAGACATACCCTGGGAGAGGAAAACCCTCCCGTCAGTGCTAAATACAAGAGTAACATCCCAGGATCAATAGCCCCGTGTCCCTGAGTCTGGCCGTCTAACACTTCTGTGTCTTGGATACTTCTCTACAATCACAAATCGACATGCTCTCCTCATGTCTCTTCTCAGTGCTATTTGCTGACTTTTGATTTCTTGGTCAGGAAATAGCGTAACTGTATGTCTAGCTAAAGCTGAGTGAAAATTTGCCCCTCCCCCCAGTTATGCTAGTTTTGAATCAGTTTTTCTCACAAAAATGAAAAACCAAAATTTAAAAGAGTTTGGGTCAAACAAAATAACACTTTGACTGCTGGTTCAAAAAATGTTGGCTCAAAGCATTTAGATGTTTACCAAAAAAGCCAGTTGTTTTAATCTGAAATAATTTGCCAGAATCTACCTATATTCGTTAAGTTACTATGCCCTTATAAGTAGCTACACTTTTCTGTCAGAGTCATGCTGCTTTCTCTGACACTGCAAAGTACACATTTGTTTTCCCTTCTCCTGTTTGAGCAGAAGACCTACGAGATGCAGTCCTGTATCATCAGTAGGAAACAGTGCTCTTCTCTGCCCACATGGGGGCCTTATGTTCACATTTGCTTCCATGACCAAAGAAGACTCTAAACTGTGAGTTCTCTGTTGACTTGCCTTCCTTTGTCAGGTATTTCTCTCCCAGCCTCCAGGAATACATGAATCAAATGAGCTGTGGGTCTAGTGCTTTTGAGCTCTGTAAATTGTAACTGTTTCCCTGGGAGATGCCTGTTTTTGAATGACCTTGCTGTGAAAAACCCCTTTGCACCTTCATGCAGAAAGCACCACACCTATTCAGTAATAAGTGCTCTGCAGAAACAAGACTAGTGTTGGAGAAAGAAATTGTATCTGTAAAGTTGAGCTTACTATTGGGAATTAAACCAGCCTAAGGCTGGGGAAACTCCCTTCCTTAGCTCTTCCATCAGAATGGACCCAGGTCGTCTTGCTTCCCATAAGATTTTATCATCAGGCTATTGGATGCTATCAATGGATTTCATGTTTTATGGGTTTCCTAGTCCCCTGTGCTGATACAGATTTGTACCCACAGGGCGCTCTCAGTTCCCAGGAGATGCTGCGGCCAAAGGAGAGGAATGTAGTGCTGCCGCTGCAGGAGCCAGCATCCCACATCGGAAGCGCCTCCTGTTAGCAGGGCTGTATGACCTCAGACAGGAGAGATGGGGGGTGATGCTGGTGCGCACAGGGCACTGGTTCCTGGGAGCGGCGGCACCACGTTCCTCTCCTTTGGCTACAGTGTCTCCTGGGAGTGGAGCCCTGTGCATCACTGGGTACTGATTTATCAGTATCACACGTGTGGGTAGAAATCTGTATCTGTGCAGGGCTCTAGGGATTGCTTCTTCAGTGACACAGAGCTAACTAGAACAGTCCTCCACTTCCATATTTTTCCTTCCATCTTTTCTCCCTACATAGTTTTGCTTTAGGTGGTAAAGACGCTGTTTTTAACATTTCAAAAGGTGTGAATCCAAAGCCCAGTGCACTTTTAAGGCTGGTGTACAGTTTCCTTTAATAATACACAGCTATAATTGAGTCCTTATGGCTTGTTTTTTCCTTTGTCATGAAGCATGTTGTGTTTCTTTGCACAGTATAGCTCTAATGTGGCCCAGTGAGTGGGAGGCAATACAGAAACTATTTGTTGTGGATCACGTTATAAAAATCATCAGAATGCAAACTGCTGAGACGAGCCCTGAGAGCATGCTTTTCGATTCTGAGCCCAGTAAGTGAGTTTCTTCTTCACCAGTGTCTGTAGAATAGCTCTTCCAACTGGTACTGGCTCCCTTGTGGGGTCTGGTGAGGGAGCTGCCATGGTCAGATTTAAGGGAGGGGTGGAAAAGGATAGATGCCAGTTTCTTAGTACCCACTAAATGCAGAGATTGGAGAATGTACCCCACATTATGCAAGCCTCTTTCAGGTATGAAAGGCGAAGAGTATTTGTAGCAGGGCCTAGTATAATGTCCTTGTCACCAAATTGTAACCATACTTTCCTTGCTCATCTTTCTAGAGCTGTGTCCTGAATGCAGAGAGGGGCTGTTATGCCAGCAGCAGAGGGATCTGCGCGAGTATTCCCAGGCCACCATCTATGTACACAAAGTGGTGGATAATAAAAAGGTATCGATCTTTCCTTTCCAGGCTTCACTTGGTAGTGGTTAAAAGTAAACTGCACTGAGCAGTAGCCAAGATAGCTATGTGAGTAGTCATCAGAGAAGAATGTGTATTCGAAAAGAGAATTCCCATTCTGCGAGAGAAATCACTTAATGTGTCTTCTTCGAGTGCTGACCATCAGGTGGTGGTGTGCACTGGCGCTGTCGATCGGAGATTTTCGCTAGCAGTGTTTGATCGGTCATAGCTGAGTAAATTCTTAGTGTAACTAGCGTTATGTTTACAGTTTAAAAAAAATTTCATCTCAAAGTTTCTAGTAGGGGTGCTTTAAATATGCCTGGATCCCCAGGTGTTAAAAGACTGTGCCAGTACCTAATGGACACTCCCTTAGTTTCAAATGCCTGGGCGAGTCGCACGTACCATAGAGTTCACTCCCTGGAACAATCTGAAGGCTAGGGCAAGGAGAGACTCGTTTTAATGGAGAAATCCCTGACTTGTACATGGGACCCCAGACAGGCCATGAGAAGGGACTCTGTGGGTGCAGTCTCTGGGAACAGGAAAAGGGTCTCATCCTCACCAAGCTGAGAACCATTCAATAAAAGGTCTCCAGTGAGGTCCCCACCCTCAGTGCCGCCCTTATGGAGTGAGAACAGTTGATGCACCAGGCTCCTTCTGGCACCGCCCACTTTGGGACCTCTACTGGCAGGGCAGGGCAGGGCAGCCAAGTAGCAGGCACAAAATGGCCACCTACTTCATGGCACCAACTGCCCCTACAAAGGATGCGGTGCCACAATCTTTACCACAAATGATGGCTCCCCTTCTTGCACAAAGTCCATCAGTGGCAACGTGGAACTGCCAAACCAATGACAGCACCTACAGAGACCACGCACAAACAAGTGGCGCCAACCACCAGCCACAGGACGAAACAGCAACTCAGACAGCAATTCTGAACCCTCCTACAGACTTCGAACATCAACGTCAGGGTCTCCAGTGCTTGGCACTGAGTGCTTGCTGGTGCCAGGGGCACCAAATCAACCTGACTCCTGTTGCTCTGCCCTCCTCAATGACAGCACCTACAGAGACCACGCACAAACAAGTGGCGCCAACCACCAGCCACAGGACGAAACAGCAACTCAGACAGCAATTCTGAACCCTCCTACAGACTTCGAACATCAACGTCAGGGTCTCCAGTGCTTGGCACTGAGTGCTTGCTGGTGCCAGGGGCACCAAATCAACCTGACTCCTGTTGCTCTGCCCTCCTCAGGTGATCTGCCCTCTCTGGGCTCTTCTTTCCAACTGGCACTGCCCATCGTTACAAACAGTGGGCCCGCAAGGACTTACCACTCTGGCTTACTAACCCCCGGACATGTCCTCCCATGCCATTTCCTATCTAATGGCCACGATGGGATCCAGCGGCAGCCTATAGGGCTCAAGTCCACAGACCTCCCTCTGCCCACGAGAAGCCTGTTCACGCTGCACTGACGTCAGTGTCCGACCCTCTGGGATAACTGAGGAGGAGCACTCCACAAAGCATATTCCTCTTCTCCGGCTGAAGCAGTTACGTCCACGCCTTCTGCTACTAGAAACCATTGGAAACCTTTTCAGGAGCCATTCAGACAGGTGATGCAGTCAAAACGTGTCTCTCAAAGTTCAGGAAACACAATACAACTCCTGAAGGTTCTGCATGCTTCCTCAAAGTCAAAAATTGCACTACCCATCAATGACTGGAACCTGCAGGTATAGCGTGGCAAGTGCCTGCTTATGTTCCCCCCCCAGCTAACAAACTCACGGACAGAAAATATCATGCACCAAAAAACGGCGTGGAATTCCTGTTGTCCCACCCACACCCAAACTCCTTGGTACTGACAGAAGTTAACCAATTGGGCAGACAACCGCGATACAAAGCCACACCCCAGGACAAGGACTGGAAAAGATTAGATCTCTTAGGTCACAAAGTTTACACCAATTCCTCATGGCAAGCTATACAGTCCAGCTGACAGGCTAACCTGGAGTTCACCTGTGATATCCCGGAGGAAAAGAGGACAATGTTAAGTCCTTGTCAATGAGGTGAAACTCACTGCAAAGGTATCGTTCCAGGCATCCCTCAATGAGCCAGACACTGCGGCCTACATGGGGCATCACGGCTCTGTTCTTTGGGAATCTCAAGAGAATTGCAGAGGGCAGGTTGAAGACCTTTCCTTTGACAGCGATAGGCTCTTCTCCGCTAAGACAGACCAGATCCTTCGCTCGGTGAAGGAATCTAGAGAAGCCCTGCACACACCAGGGATATCCGCATTACCATACAGCGTCGGTGCCAGCAGAGCCCCTGTGATGCAAGAGGACAAAGAAACAAAGCATGGAGGCATCAGCAGAACCATCACAGGATGCAACATCTCAGCCACCACCAGGGAAGTTTTGGTCAGGAGTCTGCATGACCTCCCCAGTCCCAGCGACCGTGGCCAGAACCCAAGTTTTTGGTTACCAACTCAGGCCCCTATCACCACCGACCATTAGAGATTGTCCAGATGGGCTATGCTATCTGCATTACCTCTCCCATCTACCCAGCCCCCTACCCGACCATCTGCAGGTATCCTTCTCTCAAGCATTTGCTAAGATGAGAAATGGGGCTCAACGCAGGGCCCCGCGGGTGGGATCCTTTGAATATGGCCTCCTCTCAGAACATACTCCACAACGGCGCCAATAGAATGGTCTTCTGTTGAGCTGCGTTGTAGTAGTTGAATTCCTGGGCTGTCATTGCTCGTTAAAAGTGCTGTCATATGGGTGGAAACGGGTAAATGTTGCATTGTATTAATATCAGCAGAACTGACTTAAATGGGGCGTGCATGTTGTGTAGTCTTGCCTTAATCTTTCTATTCATGCTCGTCAGTGTAAAAGAAGCTATCTGCATATTTTTGCATATATATTTGCATGTATATGCAACCACACTTAAGTTGTGGCCCTCGGCATGTGCTGTGAGTATCCAAAGTTGAGTAGCCCTGTGCTAGAGGATGCACCAGTGGTGCTGCAAGACCTCAGCTGCACACGTGCACCCCGCCCAAACACTGCCAGTGAAAATCTGACCATGCTGGGCCGCATCGCCACCACGGGGCTGCCTCAGTTATCGTGCGAGTGAGTTGGCCCCCTCTTCTGTGCAAAGGGGGCGCTATGGCAGCCGCTATGCTGAGAATAGCGCCAACACGGGTGACTTTTGATGACACTAGAGAAGGATCTGACACAATCTGCTTGCTCTCATCGTTGAGGGCGGGGCGGGGTGGGGGGGCACAAATTCTGCTATAACTCTTCAAGCTACTGGCTTATACTAACGAAAGTCCCCATAAATAAAGTTTTGTGACAGCAGATTTGGATGTTTGTGTCGGCGCTTGCTATTGGTGAGCCAGGATGCTTTTAAAAATCAAACAAGGGGGGTTGTCAGTTTGACACTAGAAAACTAAACAGCATGTTACAGGGCAAATAATGGCCCTAGAACTTGCTTCACAAATCCCTGAAGGTTCTTTACTGTCAGCCTCCAGTCATCTTGAGGTTAACGCATTGTTAACGCTCTGTAGTTCCAGGTAGGAAACTGACTCTTTGAAGGAAAACTTCTCAGATAAGCTGACAAGAACCAGCTGAAAGTAGCAGGAAAGAGGCACATTTGTGTGGGCACAGGATTTTGTTGTACTAGGAGTTTCTGAGAGGGCATCGTAGACAAGGACGGATTTTACTGATGCCCAGACAGCCCATGAGTTGTACTAAATGTAACCCTGCTTCATCAGGGTGTTCAGATTGGGGACGTGATGGTTTGAGGATTCAAGAGGACTTCTTTTTGGTCAAGGCCAGATTCTGGGAAGGGCTCTGTTCGGTGTTCCCTTTAAGTTGCTGGGCAGCACAGCTTCACAGGTGACTAATCAGCTGAGTGACTGGGCTTAGAGAACACTGGTTCTGAGCACCCTGCAAAGTCAGTAATAGTTGGGTGGCTCAGCTCTCTGCACATTTACAACTAACTTGAAATAAGTAGTGTAAGAACAAGTGAACAGAAGCAGTGATGACTTACAAGTTGCTGAAGGCCATAACTCTCAGGCACAGAAATTTGCAGTCTCTGCAGAGATGAACGGATTTTGAGCTAGACTAGAATCTGCATGTTGGTGGAGCTGGTGGGACCTTGCAGATTATTTCTAGGTAAGATTTTTAATCAATTGGATGAGAAAAATCTGTAGTACCAACTATTGTTACTGCCCATTAATATCCAGGGTCGTCACACCAAGCTTTACAGTGTCCCTAGTGATGACTGCGCACTAACCAGTGGGTATTTTAACTATAACATTCTGCAATGCACATTTGGGTTCATAAGTCAATTCAGTTTATTTATCTCTGCACTTGCGATCGCTTTGGGGCAGATAAAGGCACCTAGCAATAACTGGTATAAACGGAGTTAGAGATACATTCAGCATGTTACCTGTAAGCATAGGGTGGAAGATGGGTGGTTTGTCTCCATACCTTGCAGCCGCTGTTGGATATTCTGTAAAACTGAGCATTTTGATAGACTGCTAATTGCACTGAGCATGTTGGATGTTTCGAAGATGCATGTAGGGATAGGGGTTCTTTAATTGCAAACTAAGAGTATGGAGAAGCCTAGGTGGGTTAGTGTGCTCTGAAGCATTCAGGTGGGAGTAGGAGTAACACCTGTAAGTTCCCTTGAAATTGCAGCCTCTGACGCTAGCCGAGAAGCCAGTACAATACAAATATGTATATTAGCCATGGGGCGGCACGCTTTCCATGATATAGCATAAGGATCGTTGTATAAATGATTGAACAGTAGCTTTCTTACAGATGTAATGCAGGCAGACCCATAAGTAACTATGAGCACTTCTGTCACTCTGCAAAATGCAACAACGTGACTGATCTCTCTAATCTATGAAGAACTCCGGTTGGGTCGGAGCTGAAGGGGAAAGAAGAAAGCCCCAGACCCTCCGAGCTACAGGAGGCAGCAGATCCGTGCAGTGGTTTCTCCCACTTTAGCCACAATTGATTAGAAGATAATTTACAAGCTTTGTGCTCCCAGGCTGGAGGAGACAACGCTTTAGTGCATGTCCTAAGTTGATGTACTCCAAGTGTCTGCCTGGCTTAGGGCTTCACAGCACAGCTGGTGTTCTACCCCCTCTGCTGACTTGTCCTTGTGCCCTAGTTAAGATCTTTAGCAGTGGTTTCTCCCACTTTAGCCACAATTGATTAGAAGATAATTTACAAGCTTTGTGCTCCCAGGCTGGAGGAGACAACGCTTTAGTGCATGTCCTAAGTTGATGTACTCCAAGTGTCTGCCTGGCTTAGGGCTTCACAGCACAGCTGGTGTTCTACCCCCTCTGCTGACTTGTCCTTGTGCCCTAGTTAAGATCTTTAAAAAGAATCTAAAAGCAACTCCGCTAAAAGGGCAGGGGACAAGCTACGTTTGCTGTTGGCAGAGTGATGCAGTATGTGATTTGTATGTCTTCAGGTAATGAAGGAAGCGGCTCCAGAACTCAACGTGAGCAGTTCAGAAGCTGAAGAGGAAAGGGAGGAAGCCAAACCAGAAGGGGAACAGGATCCAGATTTTAACCAGGTAGAGATTTAAAAGGCTTCAGTGTTTGCACTGTTTACTTTCCTCTTGAGATAACCAAGTGTCCAGCTCTGACAACACAGGAGTCTCATTTACTGTTAGAAGTTGAAACAAGATAGCAGTTTCTTTATTTTAAGCTTTATGATTGTCAGACCCTCTTAAAAGTACATTTCCTTACCCCTTTTGTTCCATGAGACAGACCAGTTGCTGTTTGCTCCTGTGTTCAGTAGGGATGCAAAGCTGATTCTATTTGAATTGGTTTCCTCGTTAATACATCCTACAGGGAAGTATGAAAATATATGAAATGGAAAGCACATTTTAAAGCTGTGATAGAAGGTGCTCTCCAAATTCAAGCTATTAAATTAGTGAACATGTAGTTGGTAAACCCCATAAAAACGATGGGTATTAAGTCATCTTTAAAAGCATTATCACCAGCTTGGTCCCAGTATCTGAGAGGCGCAAGGGAGTTTTGTGTAATTTGGAAGTTTGTATCTTTCACTAGCACAAGGGATCCAATAAAAGATATTGCCTCACTTAACTTACCCTCTTTTAAAGAGGCTTAGAACCTAGAGACTTCTCAGGTTCGGAACAGTACTAAATTTTGGGCCTGGGATTCTTACACTCCTAGGGTATGTCTACACTACCCCACTAGTTTGAACTAGCGGGGGTAATGTAGTCATCCGCAGTTGCAAATGAAGCCCGCGATTTGAATTTCCTGGGCTTCATTTGCATGAAGCCGGCCGGCGCCATTTTTAAATGCCGGCTAGTTCGAACCCCGTGCCGCGCGGCTAGACACGGCACAGACTAGCTAGTTCGGATTAGGCTTCTAATCTGAACTAGCTGTACTCCTCGTGGAACTAACCCGAACTAGCTAATCTGTGCCGCGTCTAGCCGCGCGGCACGGGGTTCGAACTAGCCGGCATTTAAAAATGGCGCCGGCCGGCTTCATGCAAATGAAGCCCGGGAAATTCAAATCCTGGGCTTCATTTGCAACCGCGGATGACTACATTACCCCCGCTAGTTCAAACTAGGGGGTAGTGTAGACATACCCCTACTCTTGCCTAATACTGATGTCTGACCTTTGGGGTATCCATAGAAATATTAAGGTATTCGCGTGGTGGCAGTACATGCTGTCTCCCTCCCTGTACTCTTGGGAGAGCAGTGGTTAATGGGACACTAAACAATTCACATGTTGAAAAGTGGCTCGTTACAGGTGGACCTCCCTGGTCTGGCCCCCTCAGCACTTGACTCATCCCGTCAGAAGAAGGATTTTGCCTTGATCAGGAGAGGTCATTTCTGGCCCCCCTCCCACTCCTGCAGCCCAGCTTAGCTGTGCACCAGTTCCTCCCACCCAACTCTCCTGTATCAGGCCAGGCTCTCGGGGGGAGGGGGACATATCCCACAGCGCCAAAGAGTTCCGGTTTATAGAGGTGCAGCCTGTATTTCCATACTGTCCTAGAGTTAATGTAAACGTGGGTATCAATCACACTTCCTGTTTCGGAACCTTGTTCGCAGACTAATGGTGGTGCAAAACGACAGAAAATATCCCATCAGAACTACATTGTGTATCAAAAGCAAGGCATCAGACGGAGTACGCGGCACAGAAAAGTCCGAGGGGAAAAGGCACTACTTGTTTCTGCCAACCAGACGTTGAAAGAGCTGAAAATACAGGTGAGGAGCTTCCTTTGCTCCTAAAAATAGTGTTCTCTTCTGCTGTCCCGGGTGCTCGCTCGCACTCTGGTGACACAGAAGTAAATCTTGTACTCCTAGCTCTTGCCATTATTTTATATTTTCCTACATAAGATTAAGGAAGAACTTGTAATATTTTATAACATGTGTCATGGTAACTCAGCCAAGTTGTGTTTCCCACTCCATGCATGAGGAAGGTTCTAAATACAGTAGAACTACCGCATAGCTTCACCAGATGTGGGTAGTACGCTAGGGGGCCTTGGAAAGCCCTGCTCAGGGGTTCTGTGTGGGGTGGGGCAGTGGCACCCCCCACGATATACTGGTCAGTGGCTCTGTTCTGTATTGCGTCCTAAGATGCATGATTTCTGACAGTAGCATTGGTGTGTGTAGGACTCCTGTACATATGTTGCTTTTGCACAATGGCGTGTGTATTTGTGTTGGCACAGATCATGCACGCATTTTCAGTTGCTCCATTTGACCAGAATTTGTCGATCGATGGGAAGATACTAAATGACGACACTGCAACACTTGGCGACCTTGGAGTCATTCCAGAGTCAGTCATTTTATTAAAGGTAACATGAGAATTGTGGGGACCCGCGATCAGAAATGCTGACTGGAAAAAGAGTTGCTATCAACACAGAATCACACACACGCAGTCCTGAGATGATGCAGCTAAACACTCGAGTCAGGAAATGTTGGGATTTGAACGCTCCGCCTAGGATGCAGGATTGTCTTTAATTGTGTGATATGCAGTATCTGAGAAGTTACAGCTGAAGGTATATGTGTGACTGAAAGCTGTGTCCTCACATATGCACAAGGCCATCGGAATTCAGGTTGTGCACTCAATTTTTACACTTAGAATTTAAAGATTTTTCTTCCCTCAAAAACAGTATGTCTAGACTGCTCAAAAGTCTATCAAGAGCGCTCATTGGTGGTCAAGGCTAATTAATGCCTTACCTCTGTAGTCCCCAACTTATCAATCATGATCGATCGGTGGGGTTCAACCAGTCGATCACAAGGTATTCAGGGCCCCCCATATTCCCTTGCCCACCAGAAACCCCCTCTGACACTACCTCCAGCGACAATGGAGGTACCGCCAGCTTCCTGCGGGACTTCCCCTCACCCCACAGCTGCACGCCACTTCTGGGCTTTCAGGGAGTGCACCAGCTGCTCCCTCCTCCCCCAAACAGCCGGCATGTTTCCTGAAACTCCAGGTCTGTGGCACGCCAGCAACTTCCTTCCCCTGCTGCCTTCCTGCACGGGAGGGGGCAGGAGTCCTGGGAGGAAGCGCATCTAGGCACTTCCTTCCCCTGCTTCCTGCGTGCATGCGAGGGGGCCGGGGGAGTCCCAGACCGCGCCAGCTCCAACTGCTCGGGCAGCAGTGCTCTGTGCCCCGGCACCCTGTCCTCTGCCCCCACCAGCACAATTGGGGCCACATGAGTGAGGCGTGGCGGGGGGAGGAGGATTGGAGGGGTTGTGTTTATGCATCTCGCTTGTGTAGCCCCAACTGACTTTTCTGTGGGCCAGTGACCCTGACTCCAAACAGGTTCCCCGCCCCTCTCAAAAACAGACAACGCTGAAACCTTTTGTGTGTGACGTAATATTTTATTTTAAAATGAAGCCTGGCCAACAAGCCCCCAGTTGGGGCCAAGCTCCCATCTGGCCGCAGCATCATAACACTCCTGCACCTCCCACTCTGACCCCAAATCTGAGCCTGTCATACACTGGAATCCCCTGTCCTGAGCCTCTCACATCCCCAAACTCCTGCACCCGCATATCCTCAGTCTTCCGCCACAACACTCCTGCACCATTCCCACACTGCAAATCTGTGTCCTGAGCCCATCATACTCCCAACCTCCCTGCCCTGACCCCCTCACACACTCCAACCCAAACCGCTGTACCCCACCTCCACAAGCCTGTGGCTTGCTCAGCACCCCAGCCCTCCCCATCCTGCAGCCCCCTCCCCGAGCCAATATCCCCTTCTCCACATTTCCTCCCAGAGCTTGCACCTCTCACCCCTTCCCACACTTAAATCCCTCTTTCCCACTCCAGAGCCTGCACCTCCTGTCTCAGCCGAGTGACTAGACGCTCTTTTTGGCAGCCCTTGTATTCCTCGTTCCATGAAGAATAAGGGGGTTTCCAAAAGAAGGGGGTTTCTGACATTTTTCCCAGTCTACACAGGCCAAATGTCGGAAAAACCTCTTCCGACAGAAGGATTGGAAAAAGCGGCAGTGTAGCTGTACCCTGATAGCAAGTGATGGAGGAGGGGAACAGAGAGGGTGGGGCCTCAAGAAAGGGGTGAGGTCTTGGGGAAGGAATGGGGTAGATCTTGGTTTGTCCTGACATTTAAAAAGTGATCTTGGGTTTAAAAGGTTGAAGACCACTGCCTTACCTAATGTTACTACTAACCTGTACACTTGTAAAAAACAAGGTGCCAGCTGGGCAAAGGACAGTAAGTGTTTACATATCTGTGCACACAATACAACAAAATACAGTGGCCCAAGTAGGCTTATGTTTAGTTAACGTCAGTAGGACTAAACCCCGGACTTAAACAGCCCTTCCTGAACAGAGCTGCGTTACTCAACCGAGGATCCTAAAGCCTCGCTACAGCCCTCTTTTTGCTGTCTTCTTCCTCAGACATTCCCTTCCGC